TCATTTGACAATAAAGGATTATCTTTTTTCCTCACTATAATCATCATTTTTCCACCATTGTTGTCAGATAACAAATTTTAACATGAAGATAATCTTGAGTCATTCAGCCCAGAAATTAAATGGGGCTATATAAAAAATTACATGGGGCTAATGGGTTTATGTATAAATATTTTTAGAAAATAAGATTAGCAAAAATAAGGGTAGCAAAAAATTACATGGGGCTGGAGCCCACCCTAGCCTAAGGGTGGCTCCGCCCCTGGGTCTCGTTATGGAACCATTTCATCAGGGTTTGTAACCGTGAAATTATTTTGTAACTGTCGGTGATAGTTGATTTAACGGTTACAAACCCCGACGAAATAGTTCCGTAACGGGACCGTAGCATGTCCCTATAATTTTTTTATTCTTTATATTAATGGTCCCTTTAGAAATGGCAAAAATCGGGCCGGGTCACAACTCGGCCCGGCCCGTTGGGCCACCGGGTTGGGTTTTGACGACCCTGAACCAGCACGGACCTAGGATCGTGCTGGGTCCATGACCCGGCGGGTTTGGACTCGGCCACATAAGAAAATAAAAAAAAAAGAAAAAAATCAAAAGCAATGTTTTTTCCTGTGACGACACGGACTCGGCCCGGCCCGCCGGGTCAAAGTCGAAAAAACATAACCCTTGACCGGCCCGTTTGAAATCCGTCCCGGTCTCGGACCCGTGGTCAACGGGTTTGACCGAGGCGAGCCCAAGGCGGGTCCGGGTCGGGTCGGTAAGCCGGGTGACCCGTGGCCATGTCAAGATCCCTTAATAGTACAATAATAATTCAAGTTACCTAGTGTAGTTTGGTTTCATGGTTTCAAAAAAAAATAAAAATATTTTTCTTTTAAATTTTAAAGTTAGTAATAAAAAGTTGTTTAAAATTTAAATACCTTTTAAAAATTATATATTTTGAAAAATTATATATTTTGAAAATTTGAAAAATTATATATTTAAATACTTTTTAAAAAGTTATAAATTTAGTTGAGGAAGCCATAAAATCAACCTCGTTCGTGATCGAAGACATGTTCATGACTCAGATTGTGTTCATGTCAACATTTATAGAGATTATATCCGACGATTGATAATAAGGTATTTCGCATTAGAATTTCAATCTCAATGGATTAAGGTATTCTTTATAATCCTCTTGATCGATAATCTAGCGAGATGTTGATTTTTCTAGTATTAAAGCATGTTTGAGGATAATTGTTATTGAATTTTATATTATGTTATTATAAATTCCTAAAAAAAAAAGGCTTCATTCGATTACCATATCACATGTTCTGTGAATGAAATTATTTGTTGCTGGTTGTCAGTTGTCCAAAAAAAATAAAAAATTGCAAAGGTTATCTTCAAATGCAATGCCAACATTTATAATATTATTATTTATTTTTAATTAAAAAAAAAACGAGAGCCATAGAAAATAATTGTTGTCAAGGGTTAAGACAACATGAAGGCCAATGCTTGGCCTATTCAATCCAAAAATCTCCCCAAACCAATTTACCCAACCCCAAAAGGCCAAAAGGAGATGGAAAATCAATAATTTCCTATGGTGGGCATATTTTGGCTTACTCCATGTATAAGTATCAACACTTGAAAAAAAAAAAGAAATGAAAAATCACATAGTAGATAGAAGTATACATCAAACTATACCACATAAATTCTATGGAATTATCGGATGGCTCCTTTATAGAGTCATCCATAACATTATGTACTGACACATATTCAATGTGCATTTAATGCAGGACACGTGTCAATATATCAAATGTGAATAATTATGGATGACTCCATAAGTCGAGCTCAATAGCATAACCAGTACAGTTGGTATGACCAAACTAAGGTTGTGTTTGTACATAAAATAATTCAATTCATGCTTAATTCATACTTAAAATCTAACTCAATTTTAATTTAACCACATCCTCCTCAATATTATAAATATAATTAAATAGTATTAATCAGTTAATCATTCTGGCAGATTACTTCAACTTTGATTCACGATCATCAACTCACATAATTTTAACTAACCATCAGTTCAAATCATCTCTCTCACACTTTTATATCAAATCAACTTTAATTATTTTATTTTAAATATAATTTTAACGTAAACTTCAAATCCCATTAACAACGAACCATAGCACTTTTTTTTTTTCAAAATTAACCACGGGTAACTAAGAAAAACTCGTTTTGAGCGGATATGTATGTATCCAAGCATGCCCTTAAAATTTGAAATTTCATGGCCCAAATACAACTAAGACATGGGAACACAAAGAAGCAAAGGACTAACCGGATGTACCTCAACCGTTGGAACCAAATCACATGATTTGCAGGGCAAGAACAAGTATACATGTATATGTGTGTGGATAATCAACTTTTTTATTGGTGAATTGATGGCTATAATTGGGCAAAATTTGGAATAACTACATACGAGGATGCTATATGTCAATTGC